GCGCAACCACGCAGCAACAATGGGACAATCGCAGGACAACCGCGGGACCATCGTTTGCCAACCACAGAACAACCGCGGGACAACCGCGGCACAGCCACGGGACGACCGCGGGATAACCGGGGGACAGCCGCCAGGACAACCGCCAGGACAACCGCCAGCACAACCATCGGGACACCCGCTTTACGACCACGGGACAACCCACGGGACAACCGTGCCGAGACGACCCCTGGGACAACCTGGGGGCATGGGCGCGCGAAGGCGGGAGGGGAAGCATCCTGGCGTGAATCACATCATCCCTCGCGCCCTCGCGCTGCTTTGCCTCTCGCGCGCGCGCGCCACGCACGACACGAGCCGAGATCGAACTCTGTTTATTGGTGTGGGGCACCCCGTTCCACTTAGGCTCCACCCCCCAATCTCCAGCGCTGGCAGTTGATTCCGTACCAGCACCAGCGGGGTGGCCCCTCTGGGGGCTCTCTGGGGCCGTCTTAGGGTCACCTTGGTTCCTCAAGAGCCCGTCGGAAGCGAAAAGGCGAGAGGGCAAGAAACATTGATTTGCTGTAGGTGTTTGAAGGATTGTGGCCTCTTGGGGGGTCCTTTTTGAGGCCTCTTATCTGGAACCATCTTGAGGTATCTTGCGCCATCTTGGAGGCCATCTTGGTCTCTCTGAGGCTGTTGGAGCCATGTTGGGCGATCTTGGGGGCTCTAACGACACTCTGCCCCCCTTCTCCCAGGCCCAGGGTAGGTGGTTGGGGAGGTGTAACCCCTCCCCCGAGCAGGGGAAGGAAGGGTTTTGGCAGTGAGAGAGAGAGAGAGAGAGAGAGAGAGAGAGAGAGAGAAAGAAAAAAAGTGAACGAGAAACAAAAAACAAAGTCAGTTGAACCACCTACGCCCAGAGGGCTGGTGGGATTTGAAGCTCTTGTTTTTGTCACAGAAATAGCAGAAGTTGAGCCGATGTCAGCTGCTCGCAAGGTGCCTTTGTGCAAAAATCGGGTCGGATCGTGCCAGTCCGTTTGACCTTCCATTTCGTTTAGCAAGGAGTACCGCGGCCCCCCCCCCGAGGCTCGCCCCGAGACCTTCCTCGTGCCCAGTGCCTTTGTTCGGGGGATGCCCATGGCTGCCTGCTGCAATGAGGCGGGCGCGGCGTGAAACTGTTGAACAGTGATGCCATGACCTCGTGAAACCCGGCACCCCTGACAGCCCCCCGACGTTTGGGGGCGTCCAGCCCGCGCTCTACAGCTGCGGCAGCATCGTCATTCGAAGTTCAGCTCGGGGCATCGTTCCCCCAGGTTCCTCGTGTTGGCGGGGGACGGGTGCGGCAGTGGAATTCTTCGTCATCGACAAAGACTCGCAGGAGTTTGCGCCTGGTTGGCCAGACGATGTGGTCGGAATTGGCGATTCCGGCAGCATGGGGGACCGTTGGGAACGATTTTGCTGCACTCCTGCTGTCCGAGGTCGCACCGGGGATGCGAGCTCTGGCAACTCGAAGGCCGGCAGAAGCGATGCTAAGTGCTGCATTAGGAGTGGAGCCCTGGCCCGGCCAAGACTCACGGGAGGTAAGGGCGCTCTGAGTCGGGCTGGAAGCTGAATCCTGGAAGTGACAGCGCACGTGCAAGCGCGCGCGACGTCCATCCCTCGCCAGGAGATGTGCGACCGTCTCGGGACGGAGCGAGCGTGCACAGCCCCAAGTTTCCTCTGTCAGTGGGCATCGCGCCGCGCCACATCGCCGTCCATCGCGTGCCCATTCTGGCCCAGTTGTGTTCCTTCCTTTCGTTTGTGACTCAGCGAAATCCGTCGACTCGAACTCACTGTCCGTCTCCGGCCCCCGCGGACCGCCGGGGCGCAATACCCACCTCATTGAAGCGTAGCGCACCGCATGCGAGTGCGGCGCCGGTAGCCATGGCGACCCAGGGCGGTGGGGCCGCCGCCGCAGGGCGCTGCGCCGGCGGCGACGGGGGTGCGGGCGGCGCGGGCGAGAAGGACGGCGGCAGGGACGGCAGCCTGCCGGCCGAGCCGCGGCCCGCCGACCCCCGCAGGGAGGGGGAGGACGGCGACGCCTCCGGAGACGGCGGCGGGGCGGGCGACGACGCTCCCGAGGGCGAGGACGACGACGCGGCCATCGAGGAGATCGAGTGGGAGGAGATGTACGCCTGCCCCCTGCTCGTGCGCTTCACGCAGGAGAAGGTCCACCCCTTCTTCTACCGGCGCGGCCCGATCGTGAACGTGGTGCCCAAGATCCGAGCCGTGCCGAGAGGCCCGGACTCCGACGGGGAGTGCGACGACGTCATCGAGCTGGTGGCGCCCTTCCCCAACATCCACTGCCTGCAGAAGGGCGAGGAGCTGTGGACCCTCGACAATCGCCGCCTCTACGCGCTGCAGCTGGCCGCCATGGAGCAGTGGCCCCAGCAGTGCTGTGTGCGAATCATGGTGGTGGACAAGCTGCCCCGGCACAAGTTCAAGTCGCAGTACAGGAAGTTTAACACCACATCTGAGGGGCGCACCATCGACGTGTCCGCCAGGTACCAGACCTTTGACACCTGGAACTGGTTCGACCGGGCGGTCGAGCTCGAGGCCGACGAGTTCTCGCAGCGCGTGGGCACCATGCTGTCTTGTTTTGAGGCGCTCCCCGTGCTCTGCGCCCTCCTGTTCCGCACCGGCCTCACCGGCTTCTCGTCGCGGGCCCCGTTCGTCGTGGGCTTCCTGGCGGCCTTCGCCGCGGACCTGCTGCGGCAGAACTGCCCCGCGCTCGAGCGATCCGTCAGCAGGCTCCACGTGCGCGCCGTGATGGAGGGCGAGGTGCGCCAGCTGAGCCCCTGCCTGCACCGGCTCAGGTCGTGGTGGGACGACGGCGGTTGCGCTGCCGGCGATGCGGGCGCGAGCGTCGTCTCCATGGCGCAGCTCGCCGCGATGATGGCGCTGGCACTCGGCCTTATCCTCCCTTACATATTTGGTATCACGAACGACCGCGTGCGGTCGTCGCTCACCTCGTGCTGGCTGGGCGTCGCGTGCGTGCTCGCCGTTCAGCTTGTGACCCTGCTCCGAAATGGTGCCCTCTCGACGCCCAGTTTTGGATCGGGCGCGGGGAGCAAGCTCTCGCCCAAGCATCGTGACTAAAGCGATCTGGGCCGCAATGCGGCCCAGGGGCGGAAAGTGTTTTTCCTAAAGTGCGTGTTCATGTCTCACGGAAAACATCTCGAGGTCCTCGCCGTCGGTCGCGTGAATGTGTTCTTGGCTGGACAGCGGGCCGGACTGCAGGCTGGTCGGCTGGATGAGCGTGTGGCAGGCAGGTCTGCCAGCTGGTCGCTTGGCCAGTGGGTTGTTCGGCTGGCTGTCCGTTGGCTGGTGGCTGGCTGCTTTGATGGCGGGTTGACTGTCTCGTTGGCCCGTTTGAGGGTCGGCTGGTTCACCGTATGAAATGGAGGGGAGGGGGTCAGGGGACGGGGAATAGGGGCAGAGGAGGGGCAGGAACCAGGGGGAGGACGGCACCGAGAGGAGGAAGGGGACGAGGGGAACGGCAAGGAGGGGGGAGTGGACTTAGGAGGTGATGGGGACCAGGGGTGCGGATGGGACCAGTGGTGGGGAAGGTGGCCAGGCTAGGTAAGAGGAAGGGACGACGGGAGGACAGAAAACACCGTAAGGGAATGAGACCCGGGGAGGGAAGGGGACCAGACGACCTTGGCCATGGGAGCGCAGATGCATGATCATGTCCAGGATCGTCCCCCTGAGAGTGGTGATTCGTCGCATGACAGGAAGCATGAAGCGATTATCGCGTCAACTCAAGAGCTAAGGTGGGCGGGTTGCCGAACCACGGACATTAAGCTGTTATGTTTCGTATTGTTTTGACTTCAGAGTGCGCCCCAGATGGCCCAAGAGTGTGCCAAGAGGACACCACTGTGACTCAGTATTGCTCGAGGTGGCTCTCAGGATGGCCAAAGAGGCCCGCAACCGACTTGAAGATGCTCCAAGAAGTCCCTCAATGGGCCCACGAGAGGCTCTAAGAGGTACCAAGACACGCTCCGGACAGCTGGAATCGCCAAATTTCATTTCTATTGAGATGTTGTGCGTTTCTGTTGATTTTCGGGCCCGCCTGACTCCACCTTTGCTTCAGATGGCTTTAATGCGGCCCAGAGGGCGCAATACTGGCCCAAAGCTGCCCAAGAGGATCCCAAGAGGCAGCCAAACCATCCCACTATTATCTCTGGAGGGACCCAAGACGACCATATAGAGCATCAAGATGGCCCGAGCCGTTGAGAAGAATGCCCGAGAGAGCTCCCAAAGGGTCCCAAGATGTCTGCAGACGGCGCTGGGCGCCTTGAAGGGGCCCCAAGAAGACCCAAGGGACAGGCACGATGCTCCAAGACGGCCGGGGGTCCTCAGCTAGCGCCCCGACCGCCTGGAAAGGGTGGCAGAGTGCTAGTGTTCTGGTGTGTTTCTGGCGAGCCCTGATTCTTTGAGTGCAGGCTGAGTGGATACTATAGACCCGGGAGATTCGGAAATGAAGATCTCTCGCCTCTGCCACACTTGCCAGGCCTTGGAGACTTAGAGCGTCGAGGTCCGAACTTCCTGGCCACGCTCTGTGGACCTTGGGGCTGTCAGTGACCCTTTTGTTAGCCTGCTTGCCTTCTCCACTCCTCTCACTCGCCTGGGATTGGCTACAATGGGGTTCAGTGGGAACGCGCATCGAGAAACTGCGTTTGCTCCGCCGGGGTGGCCTGGGTTTCCTGGCTTCTACCTGGTTGACGATGAGATCGCCGGAGTTTCCCTGCTCGCGAATCCATCGAAATCCAGCGGCTCCTGTGCCTGAGCTTCTTGCGGAGAGCGGGCGGAGGGGGACAGGTGTGCGAGTGTAGGGGTCTCGGGTGTGGTCGTGTTTCCGTCCCCGAGGCGTTCCTCGAGCCTGCTTCTCCCCCCTGCCTTCGGGCTTCCGCTCCCGCAGTGGGCTCGGGGGGCAGGTGCGCCACGTGAAAGATGGACAGGTCTACGCGATGAAGACAATGGACAAGGCGGCGCGCTCTGGTGTGCAGGGGGGGCGGAGAGCCTGGAGAGGCGATGGCCCCGAGCTGGTCCTGCCACTGTCAGTGACATGACCTGTCCCAGCTGAGGATCGGGAGGAGGGTGATTTTGAGAGGAGGAGGAGGAGGAGGAGGAGGAGGAGGAGGAGGAGGAGGAGGAGGAGGAGGAGGAGGAGGAGAGGAGAGGAGGAGGAGGAGGAGGAGGAGGAGGAGGAGGAGGAGGAGGAGGAGGAGGAGGAGGAGGAGGAGGAGGAGGAGGAGGAGGAGGAGGAGGAGGAGGAGGAGGAGGAGGAGGAGGAGGAGGAGGAGGAGGAGGAGGAGGAGGAGGAGGAGGAGGAGGAGGAGGAGGAGGAGGAGGAGGAGGAGGAGGAGCAGGAGCAGGAGGAGGAGGAGGGAGGAGGAGGAGGAGGAGGAGGGAGGAGGAGGAGGAGGAGAGGAGGAGGAGGAGGAGGAGGAGGAGGAGGAGGAAGGAGGCCCTCGCGCGCGCGCGAGCGGGCCCGCGCGCTGCCGCCTGCCGCGGGGGCGGGCGATTGCAGCGGCCAGCCCGTGAGGCAGGGCTCAGGCGAGCCGCGGCGCCAGCGGGCCGAGGGGGAGGACATCCCACATCCCTCGGCGCGCCTCGGCGCGGTGGCCGGGAGCCACGCCCAGGCGTGAGGAGGGCGCCTGGCGCAGGCGCAAGAGAGAGCAGCGCACAGCTGCTCGGGTGCTGGTGCGTGTTGCGTCGGCGGGGCAGCTCCTCGCGGCGCACCACTCCGCCCAGCAGCAGCCTGACTCGTTCATGGGCGGCGATGGTACGTTCGTGCGCTGCGACGAGTGCGGCTGTGGCAAGAACCTCTCGTGGTGGAAGTGGTGCAAACACTGCAAGGGCGCGCTCCCGAGCCCGTCGGGTAAGCCGCCCCGCCGCTCAGGCAGTCTCGGTGCTGATCGTCCTCGGGCTCGCTCACCAGCTCCTGACAGCGCAGCAGCGGGGCCAGCGTGGCGGCCTTGGTGGGGTCAGCCACCCCCAGCTGCCCCAGGCGGCAGCCGCTCCCGTGCCCCGAGCGTCAGTTTCTCTGACGGCACTGCACCTGGACGCGAAGAGCCTGGATACACAGACCCTCAGCAATGGGGCGAGCCCACAGAGGAGCAGCGCCTGGAGGCCCTGGTCCACCTGCTGTCCAAGTCGGGCGACAGCGACGGGGCTGCCAAGTACCAGAAGCAGTTGGACGAACATCGGCAGTCTCAGCAAGCAGCTTCCATCACGGTCGGATCGGCCACTCAACGCGTCAAGCAAGCAGAAGCAGCTCTTCGCCGTGCAGTTGAGCGCTTTGATCGTGTGGCGGCCCAGTACAATGAAGCTCAACATGAAGTGGTAGCCGCTTCGTCAGAGGTCGACCTGTCCCGTGGACTATATCAAACTGCAGTTAAGAGACTGGCCTCGTCTGTCGCGGATGACGGAGCCACGCGGCCAGAAGCTGCAGCTGCATCTGTGCCCACCATCGACTTGTCCTCGCTGCTGGACGGCCAAGAGATCCGCCTGGACGACGGTGGGATGTTCGGGCTGGACGAACTGGACGACGTCGTCAACGCCGAGGATAAGGAAGAGGCACAACGCCGAAAGGGTGAGCTCCAGCGCCAATTCACCGAGGCGGCCAAGGCTTGCTTCGGCGACCTCAAGACCAAAGCGACGGCCATCAAAGAGGAGCAAGCCAAGCAGAAGGAGCGGCTCAAGGCCAAGCGGCCTCGCCCTTCCGCTGAGCCTGCAGCAGCAGCGGCTGACGGCAACACCAGCGGGCCAGCGAGCGGCGATGCCAAGGCCCCCCCATAGGCCAAGGCCCCGCCGACGCCTGGCAAGGCCGCGGCCTCGTCGGCACCGCCGTCAGCCAAGCCGGCGCCACCTGGTGCCGAGCCGCCCGAGGCAGCCGCCGAGGCCACTCCGTCGGTGGTCAAGGCTGCCAAGGAGAAGCTGGCGCAGGCCGCGACCGCCAAGTCGCAACAGCAGCGGCTTTAGCACAGGCCATCATGAACAATGCCATTCTACCTGGGGGCAGACGCACGATGCGGGTTGGACCGTCCAGCTAGACCATCTTGTGCACTGCAGTTTTGACCACTTAGAAGGTAGGCACTCGACGTTGTCTTTCCCTTCAGTCTTGGGAGACTATGGGCATGACGGCAGCGCGAGCGCCGACACCTACAACTTCAACGTTTCAAATCCTGGCTGGTCCAGGGTCGACGTCGCCGCCTGCTTCCCCCCTCAGAGCTTCAACCTCCGCAGGGGGCGATGGGGCACGGTCAGAGGGGTTGGGCAGGATGATTTGCTTTGCGCAGCTCAGCTGGCGGACTCGAAATTGGAAGGCGGCGAGCGGCCTGAGCAGCCTCCAGCGCCTCGGAGACGGGTCCGACCTAGCCCTGCCCCTGCGCTCGACCGCCTCATCGATCCGTGGGCCACGCTTTGGCTTCACGACCCGGGCTTCGGCCAGCAGGACGGCGACAGGTTGGACTTCCTGGACAGCTGCATAATATTTCTGACAGATGAGCTAAGCCACCCCAGATTTGCGTGGCTCCTGGATGCTCGCAATCAGAGCCCGAGCCAGTTGGCAGCGGAGATGTGTGCGCTCTCGTGGCAGCGAAATGACCATCGTCGGCGGAGGTGCCTGCGCTGGCTGGCGTCGCTCAATGCGGCTCAGAGGCGCATGGCTATGGACATGCACCACTACGAGTACAACAGATTGCGAGAGTGGGCTGGTAACCCTGCGCGCACGGGGCAGGCCCCGCCCATCGGCCCTCCAGGCAGACGGATGGACCCCAACGTCTACAGCTACTGGGGCAAGATCTGCGAGGACGAGCTGCTGGGCTCCGACGACAACGACGACGAGAGCGACGGCATCTTCGGCATGAGCGACCCGCAGAGCTCCGATTGCGCCGTCAGGGCAGGCGACGCGCAGTGGTACCCAGAGCACCAGGATATCAACTCAGACCACGACTCTAGCGCCACAGATCACAACCACAGCGACGATTGCCACGAGTGGATCGGGTACGACGCATCGGCCGTCGACCACTGCCAGTGTCATCACAGGCCTGCTGATGCTGCGGTTCGTCGGACCCTCGCCTCTGATAGAGTCGGTGGATCAGGACGTCTCTCGTGGGCTGACTGGCAAGCGAACGATGCGGACGACAGACTGGACCCGCACGCTCGAGGCCGAGCTGACCAGCAGCAGCGGCAACTTCTACACTTGCTACGCACCGTGGCAAGTACGTGGATGACGCCAGAGCCTGGCGTGCACTGCGAGCAGGAGGGTAGGCGAGAATGGCGTGAGCACTGCGTGCCCTATGTGGGCGCCCAGCTTGGAGCAGACGTGTGCGCTCCCATCCTAGAGGATACCGCTGCTCTGCAAGGGGTCGATGTACTGGAGGCGCGCCTCATGGTGGCCAGGGACGTCTGCACTCGCGCCTGGCAAGAGCGTGCCCGAGCACGAGCGCGATACCATCGGTGGTTTATCATGCTTCGCGAGCAAGTTGACCAGATGGGTTACCAGGCCGAGATCCACCGCCATGTGGACAACCAGATCGAGACCACGCGCTGGCTGAACTCCCATGCGCACAGGACGGCGTCGACACCCGCCTCAGCAGCAACGGCGGCTTCGTCAGCACCGACAGCTTCAGCTACGGTGACTTCATCGGCGGGCTCGTCGGCATCCACCAGTCCGTCGGACACGCCAGCATCGACGTCGGCTACGCAGAGTACGGCAGCTTCCTCACCAGGCAATAGGAGGCGCCGCGGCCATGCCTCTGACGGGCCTCCGACCTGGCGGTTCACCACCGTCAACCCCAACACTTGGGCCTCGTACCGAGAGGTCCTGGAATGGCAGCTGGCCCAGGGGACCCGCAGATGCCACGCCTGGAGTGTGCAAGAGACTCGGCTCGAGAAATCCGAAGAGAGGTCGGCGTCCAACTGGGCGTTACAACGGGGCCTCAAAACCACGTTCGAGGCGGCGGTGCGTACGAGAGAAAACCAGCTAGCCACGCCTGCGGGGGTCATGGCTGGAGTCGCTTCGCATGCTCGTTCGGTTGCTACCCCTTGGCAAGACCTCGGTCTCCGTCGCACTGGTGCTGGAAGAGTTGCAGCGCTCAAGGTTGACGCGATGGTGGCCTCTGGATTTCTTTGGATCGCGCTGTGCGCCCATGACGGTCAGGAGTGTAAAGGGGGACAACCTGGAGCTTCTTGAGGACCTAGGAGCGTACCTTCAGAGCTGCCAGATGCCTTGGATTCTTGCAGGAGATTTCAACATGCTGCCAGAGACGCCTGGTTTGGTCAAGTGGACTCAGCTGCTTAACGGTTCGATTGTGGCCCCCGACACGGCCACCTTCTCGGGCGGCGCTGGCAAGGCCCGCTGCTTGGACTTCTTTATCGTTTCGAGAGGAATGGCTGCCGCCGTCCAGAGCATTGTTCCTCTTCATGCTGCTCCATGCGGCCCGCGTACCCCAGTTCAGCTCACGGTCAGGGGATGCACTCTGAGGCTCCCAGTGCACGCCCGTGTGGCGTGGAAGGCCTTCCCGACGCGGGCCCCCACTGGTTGCCAGAAGGAGCCGCTGAGGCACCAGTGGACGTGGGACACGGGGGACCCTGGAGACCAGCGCCTGGGCACCCTCTGGGCCGAGTGGCTCACCAAGATGGACAATGAATTCTGTCATCGATTTGACCTCTGTGAAGGTAGTGACACGCCTTATCGCGGACGTGCTGGAGGATTTCGGCGCCGTGAAGTGCAACTCTTGTTGCTCATGCAGCGGCGTTGGGAGGATGGAGTGTCTCCGAAAGGTCGGGCTTGGAAGTCGCTCCGAGGGGCCCTGCACAACACCCGAGGCCTCGGGGCAGGCCCTGACATTCCCAGATTCTGGAACACCATGGAAGGCCTCCTGAGAACCATCCAGCAGTTCGACCCGGCCATCCTGGGACCAGATCTTGGGCTCGTCGGGGGCATCCCCTCACTGCTAGATGCGGCTACGACAGGAGG